CTCTCACATACGTTTGTTTCTCTTTCAACTCTACCACTTGCCCAAGAACTGAACCCCCAACGACTGCTATGGCAACTACAACTACATCCCAATGTAATTATTGATGACTAGGTCCGCCATCCGGCAGTCGCCACACTCGGGTAACGCTATGTCTCCCTCCTCTTTTCAGTCTCTCCCTTTCTCACTGTCTCTCCAAATTAAGGTTTAGCATTATTGTTTTCCTCTATATACATCATTGATTTTCCTTTCCCTTTGTGTTAGGACTTTCGAAGCCATGGATAGATACCAGAAAGTTGAGAAACAAAAGCTCGAGTCACAACTGACTCCTTCAGGTACTTTGGTTTCTTAGGTTGTCTGGTCCTCTTCTATCTTTCATGGGATTTTTTTTTTTTTTTTTGGTTTTCTATTAATTGACATTGATTTTCATGGGTGACATTGGTTGAATTGATTTTTCGTAGGTTAGGATTTCTTCATCATAAGTCCAAGTTCCTGCCAAAGTGGAGTGGAGGTTTGAATTTTTATGGTCGAAAGTGGATGACTTATGGATAATTTCAATTGATGTGAATCATTCAAATTGTTTACTATTTGCTTTAGATCTGTACAATTAGGAGAGGAAAGAAACGTACTAGACAAAATGGTATGAATTTTCGTAGTCATTTTTTGTACATATTTACGTGAGTGATCCCTCTTATGTTCTATATTTTACTGTTTTTGGTATATAGAGATGGAAGATGATGAAGGGGAGAGCCTCTGATTCCTTTTATTTTCTACACGGATTAATGTCCTTGTACAAGAAGCAAGATATCCATTTTGGGGTGGCTTTTATTTTTTTTTTAATTTGGGCTTGATTGTATAACTTGAATAAAGAGTTCCTTCTTTCTTATTGTTCTCATTTTGCAGCTCCTCAGTTGCTAATTGTTGTGGAATTGTGAGGTTGTCTCAAAGAATATTCGCCAGTTGTTTGAAAAAAATTTAGAAATGGATGATTAATAAGCAAAGCTTATCCTGAGGATGAACCCACCTAGGTGCTATTACAAATCTCTTCATCTTTTCCAATTAAAGTTTTTGGTCATGAATTGATGTTCTATGTTTTTGGGTTTTAGTGAGCATATTGGTTCAACTATATAAAGAATCACGATATCCATTGTAAGTTTAATTTCAAGATCTTGAGCATTTGTCAAAGTTTCCAGGGCAAATAAACTAAGTAGTGCTGGAAAGTGTTAAAAAAGTAAACAAATTATTTATTGAAATTTGCATTTGCACATGTGGTGTCTCTGCGTCGAGTTTTTGAATTTTGCACATTTAGTATCAGTCTTTAAACTTTTGATCTCAGACAACAATTGATTAGTTTACTATATCACTGCGAATTCAATCATATTATATCTTTATCTCTCTATTTGCATTTCTTATTCTTAGATTCTTTAAAAATTGATGGTTGTTTGTACATATTACAGCTAAGGTATTAACATATTTCATTCAACTTTTTAGGTAAGTATGATAGTTTTAGTATGGTATTAACATCTTTCATAGATGATATTTGTAGTTATAGTAATACATGATCATTTATTACTATTTTATCTAACAAAAGTAGTGGTTAGTTACAAGGGTTTGTCGGCCACTAAAAAAAATGTGTCTGTGTTTTGGGTATATTTATATGTGAGGGATTGAACATTTGATGATTGAATTTATAATTATGTTGTCATTGGGGTTAAATGGTGATAGTGACAATAAATCAATGAATTTTACAAATGAGCAAAATTGGTTGATTTTATTTATTTTTTAAAGATCGTGAATTTAACTATGTTCTGTTAATATTTGTGTATTTTTGCTTGAAGTATTTATTTTATGGGGTGGATTGAAAATTTGACGATTGAGTTCAAAATTATGTTGTGTTATTAGGTTAAATGGTGACTATGGTGAAGAATTCACGAGTCTTATAAATGAGCAATATTTTATTGATTTTATTTATTACTTAAATATTGTAAATTTTATTAAGTTATGTTAATATTTGCTTCTTTTTTTTTTTTTTGGTATTTATATATATGATGTTGTTTTTGGAAGTTTTTTATATATTTTTATGATAGTTTCATTAATATGGAGGATATGACCGATAATACATTTCGATCATTTTTAAACAAAAATTGGTATGAATGTTTTCAGGTCGTTCTTATTTAATCTAGGCAATTGCTTATGACTTTTCCTTTGTATTATATAGTATCTTTAGGTACGGATAATGACTAGTACATCTATATAATAAGATAGTTAGGCCTTTAAACTTATGAAGGGTATATTTTTTTTCCTAAATTTCAAACACCCAATACACACTTTCTCCTCCAAATTTTACAAACCCAACACACATAGAGTTGCACATACATACACACACTCTTTATATATACACTTCAACTATATACGCACATTATCATCGTTTAGTGTACAATGACTTTAGTCAGAGGTTATCAATTAGCAAGTTGAATTTTAATCCCTTATACATTTCCCAATAAAAAATCACATCACTCAATTTTATCATATGTTCAATCATTTAATATTTAATTAATTTGTAGTTTAACACAACTTTTATTTCATACATTATTCATACACGATAGTGTACACATACTGAAAAAAATTGATCGAGTTATATATTTTAAGAAAATTTTAATACTATTTTTAAGAAAATAATGGGTAGAAATTAATTTTAAATGATGTAAGTAAAGAAATAAATTTTAAATTTGGTATAGTGGGATCAATTTTTTAAACACTAGAATTTTATATTTTATTGTGCCTTAAGGCACAAATTATAACTAATATCTAATAAGGGAACACGTACCACTTTGTGTAACCGTCCACTAACAAGAGCGCAAGTGGACAAGTGAGCTTTATAAAATTTAGTAATCATCATTTAATCTATAATCATCTTCATATAAAAGAGAATTAGTCCAATTTATTTATTTATTTTTAAAAAAGTAAAATAATGGAAGTGCAACGTATGCGTACATCCATTAATTATATATAAATATTCCTTTTTTGGTAGTAGTGGATTATTCGCCAAAAAAATTTAAAGATTAGAAGGGATATTGATTATTTAGATAGTAAGAGTGTTTAAATTTCTGATTACCTGTAATTTTCTGTCCTACTTGATCCTATTGATCGATTAATCGAAAAAATTGGGTAAGAATACGGAAGAATTTTTGATCATCCAATTAAATCAAATAAGAATGCGAAATACTCATCAAATTTCTGTATTCCTAACATATCTTATCCACGTGTATATATAAACTAAAAACTCTCAAGTCCTCGCCTCCTTATGTCACCGCTCTTTGCCTTGAGTTCATAGTATGTGATTTCTGATTTTTTAGAGATTTTATAATAAATGATTTCTAAGATTTTGTATATGATTTCTACGATTTTTTATATAATTGTTTAAGAATCTAAATTATAGAATATGATTTCTAAATTGTTATTGTAATTGTTTTAGATTTTATTGTTATTGGTTTATTGTGTTGCTAAATTGGTATAAATTACTTAATTAAATTGTTAAAATGATTCAAAAATTAATAACTATAAAACATGTTCACCCAATTATTTTGGACGAAATTCAAAAAAAAATATTATATTTGATCGGATGGGATAGATCAAGAAAAATTTCTTCCATAAAACATCATGTAGGAATATAAAAGACCATATTTTTTACCCAGCGTCAACTACTTCATTGGGTTTCTACTACTATGCTATACATGAATTGAGATTCCTATACATTTTTTTTAAACAAACAGATCCTATTAATTTTTTTAAAATAAATGGACCCTATTATATATAGCGGGATAATGGTAAAAATCTAAAAAAATTTAAAATTTTCATGTGTTTGGTTAGCATAAAAATTAAAAATGATAGAAAAAATAATTTTCTTTCATGTTTAGATTTTTTCACAACTAACCACCTTTTTTTTTCTTGTAAAAAATAAAAGAAAATGCAAGAATGTTATAATTCATAACTAATTTTCCATTCTAACTATATTTTTAAAAAAATATTTTATTAGTTATTAATTTTAAAAAATTTTATTATAAATTTGGCTAACCATATAATTTAGTTTAGAGACTTTTGTGTTGATGTTTGTCCTAAAATTAGGTTAGTAAGTATTTTTTATAAAAAAAATTTAACTTTTAATAAAAAATTTATTATGACTTTTTTTTCTTTCAAATAAAAAATAATTTTATTGATAAATTTTTCATACAAACCAAACATATATATGAAAATATATATATATTTTTTTTCGTTTCACTTTTTATCATTTTTAATTTCTATCATTCGTTCTTTCCTAACAAAAAAAACCCCATGCATTTAGGTCTCGTGCATTTGTTTGAGATTCATTATATACAAAAAAAAAAAAAAAGGTTTAAAAATAAAATTATATACAAAAAAAAATTAAATCTTGGCCTTACTATCAACCACTTGTCCTGTGTTTTTGACAAGTAGATATTAGATATAATAATTACATCATATCAATAATATTGATTTAGCATAACTATTTAAAAATAATAATAAAATAAATAAAATAATATCCACTTTCTATAGTGGCGACGGTCATGAATATATTTATGACACAGAAGCGCACTTTAACTAGTCCCATCAAAGTTACTCGCCGTGAACACGTGGTTTCAAAATGAAGCGAGTACCACTCTTTCTTCGTGCGAGAGTGTACCAAGAGAAGAAAAAAACAGGGTAAAACGGGCGAGTAGTGGAGACGAGCGCCGATTACTACGGCCCCCTCAACCCCCAAACTCTTCGTGGCGTGGCGAGTGGTCACGTGACCTGTGTTTTGTACTCTCCATTCTGAAAGACTGACCCCATGGCCTGCTAACTTTCTCTCTCCTCTTTATTCAGAGATAAACCCGTAACGTCAATTTCAAAACACAGAGCTTATTCTCTCTCCTCCAAATCCCGCGTCAGACTCTTGAAATTCTTACATCATTCTCTCTCTGGAAACACACTGCAATTTGTCTCTCCAGATCAATGGCCGAGTTCCCTCCGAATTTGGATGATGGGGAAATGTGGCTTCCCTCCGATATCTTCCCCATTGATGAAGTACCTTCTAAGCTAAAGCCACGTAATTACTCATCTGAGCTCTTGTGCATGGAAGAGATTGCTCAGCGCTTCGCTGTTTTTGCTTCGCTTGAACGTAACCGGACTCAGAGCTTCAATAAACCCCACACCTACTTAGAGTTAGAGGTAACGTCTAATCTTGTGTTTCTCTCACACCCACAAACACCTTTACAATCTCATCTCTCTTTCCTTTGTGAGTAAGCTTTTAGTTTTTGTTTTGCGGGGTTTGCAGAGGTTCAGAGAGCCGGTTCGTTATGGTTCGGTCGGTTCTTTTCCAGGTGGGTATTGTGTTGGCGTGAATGGCGGTACGAGAGTTGGGTATGGTGGTCATGGGTGGGGAAATGGGGGAGTTTTGACCGGTTCGAGACCGGTTTACCAGTATGAGCTCCTGAACCCGGTTCAGTTTCAGGTATTAAAGGGGAACGTAGACCGGTTTGGTTTTCGTTTTGTGAATTGTCTTGTCACGGTTCTGCTTTTCAGCTTCAATTAATGATGCTTCAGACTGGTTTTGTTGGTGGGTTGTCTTATTTTTTGCAGTTTGAGAGTTTCATGGAAGCAAGGGTCAGGGGTTTGCAGAGGCAGCAAGTCCGGTTTATGCAGAACCGGATTATGGGAAGGCGGTTTTTGCCACTTCAAGGAAATGGGATTGGGGTGGGTAATAATGGTGGTGGTGTGTTGAGAGAGTATGGAGGGACTGGTGTGTTTCTTCCCCGGATGGCCACCACCACCACCACCAATGACAACAGTGACGCTAGAAAGAGAAACAGTGAGTTCTGAGTTATTACCTTGTCATTGTTTTTTACCAGGCTATCACACACAAATACAGGCAAAATGTTCATGTTTGTAAACTTTTGTCTGTAGATATGGGTTTTAAGAGCAAATACGTTTGTGGTTATTGTCTGGTGTAGTTGGCATTTGACAGCAAAATTTTCAAATCTCATGTTTTTGGGAGTGTTGCTTGTGCTACATTGCTTCACAGTTTTGTTAGTTCTTGATTTTTTTCCTGAAATGCAACTGAAGTGGGTAAAGTACACTAGAAATCCAGTATATTTCCCAAAAAAGATGGGGGTAAATGGTGGTGGTTTTGTTTTTTCCATGACTATTTCCCTTGGGCAATGATCTGTCCACCCTAATTTTATCATATGGGTTGTTTTCCTCTCGTGATATTTTTAATTCTTGTTATGCAAGTGTGAAACCATATGGCTTTCCTATTGTGTCTTTCCTTTTTCATGGAGGTAAAATCTCAATACTTTAAGACTAATAAGTGATACAATTGTCATATTTTATATGGTGGCTATGTAGAAATTTGGGAAAGTTTTGAAAAATAAAATGTAAGCACAGTCATGAATAAGTGGTCTTTGGTTGTTTTTTTGGATTAGAAACTATTATAGGGATGCTGGGAGGTGAAGGACAAAGTTCAAATCTGCGATATTAAGGTCAACAGTAGGGCGGTGACATTAGGCCGCTGGTTAACCTCAAACGATCTTTGTTCGTTACCTTGAGAATGTTGCTATGATTTGGTCACATCCTTTTATTTTGTTTACTCTGGTTACAATGGATGGTACATTGATTTAAAATATCTTCTGAATCCAAGTATTTTTTGTGAAAAAGTAGAGGTCCAAAGTGTTATTTGGTGAAAATGTGTCAGAGTTGCATTTACTACAAGTCTTCCAGTTTTAGAGAAAGAAACTGAATAGGCTTGTCAAATGTCAATAGCCTTTTATCTTTTTAGTAATGTTGAATTTCAAATCTGCAATTCAAATTTATATTTTAAATAATTAAATAAAAAGGGATTATTGAATCGGTAAGGATAATGGAATTTACTCCTCCAATAGTCCTCCAGTATTTGAGATGTAAATTTGAGTTACAATTTTAAGTTACATTATATTTCCCTTTTTTTTTTTATGCTAAAATTTGAAGTGAGGGTCCTCTGAGGCCCATACTCTGGCTTCTATCTATTGTCTTGTATTGCTTTGAGAGTTTTCTTTTCCATGCATATGCAACTAGCCTTGCCAGTCTTCAGGCTGCAGAAATGCTTTTTTAGGTTACTAAAAATGTTTGGTTGTTGAGCAGACGAGGGAAAGAGAAAGCAAAAAGGGACTTGGAATGGAAAAATAATTTTCACTATTCTGTAACATGATGAATATGGTTCGAAGTATCGGCTGACCCGTTACCATGAGTCTCATGAGCCATGGTTCACAGCTCAGTCGACTCAGCTGAGTCATTATCTGTTGGAGTATAGATAGTCTAGGTTTATTAGGACTTCTTTTCCTAGGTTTATTAGGACTTCTTTTCCCTTTAGGATTTCTTTTTCCTTTTTTACCCTTACTATGATTTTTATATTTTGCCTATATATACGGGGTTTTACTCTTAATTTGAGTATCTCCTTTTACTCACAATTATTTCAAGTTGGTATCAGAGCAAGGTTAGGGTTTGGGGTAGGGTTAGTGTATGGCTCTATCAGCCATACCGCCGAAACCACCCTGGCCATCAACTGCCTGAAAGTTGAATAGGAGAGGTTAAAGTGACGGCGACGTCGCTGTCCGCCTTGATCAAGCCGTCGCTTCGTCTTGGCCCTCGTTTTTGCCCAA